ACCAACGAACCAACCGACTGACCGACCAACTAACGAACGAACGAACGAACCAACCGACTGACCGACCAACTAACGAACCAACCGACTGACCGATAGACCGACCAACTAACGAACTAACAAACCAATCGACCGACCGACCAACCAGTAAGCAACCGAGCCCCAATCGTAATTAGAGTCAACCAAACAAAATGAATAATTTTTTTGCTAAATTATGTGCATAAAAATAGTATTTTACATAATCAAACAAACTTTCGATCCCTGTCGTTCGCAAATCAAGGATAATTTCTAAACTCACGTATAAATGTCACATGTGCATTCACACTTCGTACGTGACTGTATGCTAAATTGGAGCAAAACACTCTTACTCCCAAACGATAAATGAAAATTGTTGCAATAATATATCGACGTAACTCCATATTGTTTAGATTTTTGAGGGAACAATGACGTGTTATTTAGCAAAGATAATGATATTCAACCAACCGAATTTGATTTAAGTCGAAACAGTTAACACTATAATAAAATTTGATAAACTCCACTTTGTCATGACAATGTCAACGAACAAAGCGAAGATATGTTGTTCTTAAAGATGAAAAAGTGACGTATACTGGCTTGGATTACTTTCTTTTAACCTTATTAGCGATTTGCGTGACTTTGGCCTTACTGAAGCGTACTACACATTATTCAAAATATGCGATTGAATCCGAGTATGCAAATATTTCAGTAATGACAGGTATTTTCGCAAGACTTTTGCAAAGAATTCACGCGATTCTGCTAAAAACGCATTGAAATTGTAAACAGATTGGTATTTAAAGTAAAATATCGAGCTTATTTTTTTAGAGAACTAGCTAAAGTGAATTTCAATTAAGCACGATTGATTGTGTYAGACTTCACACATATTCACTTAAACATTGCTTAATTGTTTTCGACGACTTCTGTTCTTGAGTCGGCTACTAGGTCGTCCTCTTKGAAAAATTATCGGTTTGTAGSTGTTAAGGCCTTGTTTGAACAAAAATTAAGTTATTTTTGATATCAAATATTAGGGTATGCAAAGTTGATATTCGTCGAGGAGCGMKCAAACAGCTTAGGGATATTTGTGTTTAGCTTACAGTTGCYTGGCAAGCTAGCATTATATTTTTCTCGCAATTCAAGAAGTTACATGTCGATTTTTGTTTGTGAGATAAATTCAAAGCATGCACATGCTAAGGTAGTCAGCTTTTCGTGTCGCGGAAACCCTAATTATGTACCTCTTAAACGAAAAAAAAACCTTTAAGATTGTATCACTTTTRAGTGTCAACATAGTGTTAATCCTCCAATCTTATGAATATTATTCTTTGTGCACTTGATCTAGTTGCTTAACGGTTAGTTAAAGTTTGTACTTGTTAAAGATTAAAACTTATAACGACCCACCTCAACTGGTACGGATTGTTGTTGCAGATTAACTGAGGTTTTTCTTGACATTGTACAACTTTGATTAAGATTCAGAAAACTCCTCAATTCGATCTTTCTCTCAGTTAAGGTAAAAGGCGTTTGTTATGTGTTACAAAAGGTAGAGGTAGACTACTAGATCAGCCAAGCTTCGCAGTTGATCAAGATTGTTGCTCTTTATGCTAATGAAGTATTGTTTTTTTTTATTGTCTCTGTACTACTCTTGTTTAGAATAAATCACACGGCTCGAAGGATCGGACGTAATAATCGCATTCGAGGGTTGGCTGTTTTTAAACGAATCCGGGAATTTTCGAAACCGCATAYTTTTTTCATCGTTWGGGGTCTATCGTTTAAGTCACRCGGAAAACGATAATCGTATCGGAATAATTTTGAAAAGAAAAACAAAAATATGCGGCYAAAAATTATTAACACAGCAAAAGTGTTGTGTTGTTTTGTTTATATGATGGATTTTATATAAACATGTAAAGCAATAATYTTATAATGTTTTCATATGATTGATAGATGTGGCAATCCATTGCTATAAGAAAAATGTCAGTAAAGCTCTCTTTTTTGCTCTCAGGTTTGAGACTGACTTGTTTAATGCACTAAATTACTATCATATATATATATTGTAAGGACAATGGGATTCAACAAGATTTTTACGATGTTWATTTTTGCATCATGTATAGTCTAAAACACGATCTCGAGTGTTTTAAACGGCTTCAAAACTCCAACACTAATTTGAAACTCAAATCCGTTAAAATTCTTGGAGAAATTGCCGTAAAAATAAGTTTTGAGATAAATGGGGCAAACTGATCATGCGCGAATCACGTTACAAAGCACTCTTGTCATTCCACATTGAATACGCWTAAAWTRAWTTAAAATAGAACATGAATGTGACCAAATAGGCTCATTYTATTGGCATAATAACTCATTAATTAAGTATGAATTTTAATTAAAAGAGAATGGAGAGAATTTATCGGGTACATAGACTTATCTACTAAGGTGGCTCCCGTATAGTTTCCACGGTAACCTTTAAAAGGGTCTTTATTACTATATTCTAATAAATGTGACTTTATAGATGCGAAAAACTGTAAGAGCAATAAATAGCTGCATAAAATTTCGCGCGTTCCAGACGGCTAACTACGGTCAACTACTAGTCCCGACGCGATAGCCGCAAGGACGCGATCGTAAGATCTATCGAAAGTCTACTACGGTTATATACGTCTACTCGAAACCCTCGTCATAACTAGAAACAGAAAACTAAATAGCTGATTGTTGTAATAAAGAAAACTACTTGAAAGCGATTAATATTATCTATCTATCTTTATAAAAAGAACTCTGCAGTTCAGCAAATTAGAAGGAATAATGTACTCGGATCTTTGCTTTCTTGCTTTTTTTACTTATATTTTTCTTTAATGAACTTTCAGATTTACGTATAGAGAGGGGGCATTCGATATCTCAATACGTGATATAGCTTTATTGATGTACCTTACAGGGAACTGGTGGAGCCAGACGATGTAACTTCACATCCTATGACGTCACTCGACTGTACGATGAAGTCAATACTGTCTATGACGCGTTTCTACRAGGAATGAATGTATCAGGTTAGTGCGAGGAGGCTGCTTATTTTTAGCATTTTGATTACATTCAATTCTCTACTTGCGCATACCCATAATACCTTCTGATTTTGGGGGGTAGTTATTGTTATTGAAATCATTTATATTTGAATGACAATTAATTTTATTTGCATCACAAAACCTACCCCCCAAAATCAGAAAGTATTATGGGTCATGTGAAAGTAGAGAATTCATGTTAATTGCAAAGAGGTTGCCATAGTAATACAGAGTATTCATACTTTACTACAAAAGAAAAACTTTAGAGGCAACGAACGATCACTCAGGCTGTACGCTACTATAATCTTCTTTTTAGTACATTCTTTTTTGTGCAACAACAGTCACGACACTCGACTTCGTCTCGTGACGTACGTTTTTGGTCTCATCCAAGTTTCACGTCACCTGTGTATATATTAGAGTATAGACGCACGGAAAAATGCATGTTTTCTTAGAACTGCATGCACAGGTCCTCTCAAGCCGACAGTATATAGCAATCACTTATCTGCTGATAGGTGCTTTTTTTGTTTTAATATCCAAAATGTGAGAATATGAGTTAGAATTTCAGTGCTACACACAGTGTATTTTATTATCTGACCCCACCTTAGGAACTATGATTAGTCAATTTTCAGATAACATACCAATTTGATAAAGTATAGTTAAGTATTGCACAAAATCACATGACTGCAATACCGTATACACCCAGTGATTTTACGCTCCGTGATGACCGCGAGCTAATTGCCCTAGTTCATTATGACGTCACATCAAAACATTCTATTGTTTTAACGCTAAGGATTATGGTCGCCAGAAGGGATCAGAGTGACTGCATATCAAATAAAATGTACATGAGCAATCATTTATACATGATATAAATCAAAACACGATTCACTGAAGTTCTACTTTAGTCGACAATATAAATGGCTCCAAATTTCCGCTGTTTTTGAGCATCGTTTTCCGATGTAAACATACTGTGACGTCATAATGAAATAGGGCAATTGGATCAATATATTCGGGCGCTATTAAAACATAAATCGCCTATTTGCACCAAATATAATATTTCTATTCGTAGATGACGGCCCTTGTGTCGGTACACGGAAGGGGAATGGTCCATACCAATGGATATCATACTCACAGGTAATAAGGTAATAAGGTGAAATTACCGAAAAAGGTCCGGGGATTGGCCTTGGATTTTCTTTATGGAAGCAATTCAATAATACCGAAAAAGGGACTGAGACTGGGCACGCGCAATATGGCCCAATTAATGATGAACCTAATAAAGAGAGATTCAGAGAGTGAGCCAGTAACTGAAGGTGTCACAGAGTTTGTTACTACTCACTGGTTTAAGATGGAGAGAAGGGACCTTAGTGACGATGTGACTATTTTTTATGAGCTTGTGTGACAATGTCACACTATTGTAATTAGACCCAGTTAAGTTCTTTTAAGCCAACCCTTATTCTTATTCACATAAAAGTCCAGAGCTCTGTCAACTAAGCCTAAGCAATAGATCTCCCCCAATTTTCTCTTCAAGAACCAGAGAGAGATTTCATCCCGGGTAAGGAGGATGCTAGCTATTCCACATACTCCACGCCCATTCGCCCATCACCTTTTTCTCTTCTTTCTAGGTTCATGAACGAGCATCCAACTTTGCTTCTGGTCTRCTGGAACTGGGATGTGCGCCTTCACAAACAAGTTATGTCGGGATTTGGTCTAAAAACTGCGTTGAGGTATGCTTAATCTGTATTTATAATCATTGATTTTCTTAATATTTTATATTCTTGGTTTGCACATACATGACGTCATATATAGCGGCCATAATGTCGCAGACTGAATAAAAAATTTATCCACTAAAATCTTTTGTTTCACCAGCATTACTTCCATAAATTTTGTATATAATTTGCTGAAACGATATTATACGCTCTTTGATTGATCATTTTGAAGCGTGCACTTCAAAATAACTCTTTACAATAGCCGACTTTAGATGTTTTGATTCAGTGACCATGCACAAAAGAATTGCAGACGAGGCTCCGGGGAAATAAAAGAATAAATCAAGATTATCCATTGTTTTCCCGGAGCCTCGTGTGCGTTCTTTTGTGAAAAGTCATCAAACCAAAATATYTAAAGTTGACTATTGATTGATCTCATTGATCAAAGACCAAAAGCACAATGCACGCGCATACAGTACTTATTGCTTGCAAGAATGCCGCGGCATCGAAGCAAAAAATCATGTTTCGGCAGCAACAAATTGAAAAAGCAACAGAAGTTACGAAATGATGACGACTGAGAAATCATTGTCCTTAATTTAATATTCCTTTGGTGCTTTCATTGACAGTGGTTCTTGACTGACTTGGGTTGCCAGATATTCTCCATGATCTCAGTGCCTATTTATGACTCGCATGGACCCGATGCATGTATTTATATCATAAAAAAAGGTGTGTGTATGGCAGGGCACTGTGTGGGTATCTCTTACTTACCGGAAATAAAATAAAAGATAAGAATAACTAGATAATCCAGTTTCGAATTCTCCAATGCTCTGTGTTAGCCTCATTTGTCCTAAAAATATTGTCCTAATTTTGAGCATAAACGTGTGAGATTTCAAATCAATTTTATTGTCTTTCTTTTCAAAATCMATGCATTTTCTCAGGCCATCAATAAAACAAAAGAATATGTTACTTGGTTTTGAGGCTAACACAGAGCAAACCAGAACTCGAAATTGGAGTATTTGATTCATGTGAAATCAGATTCCCAAATAAATTAAGGGGATGCATCTTCTTACAAGAATTTTCAATGATCGTTGGGAAAACATATGGTATTGACAACAAGAAAACACAGGCAATGTACAGCGACGCCATTTTGTGAAGCAAAGGATGATAGTAGCTGTAGTCCTCGTGCTTCTTTATGTCCGCTAAAACATACCTCCAAAACGGTGTTTCATTTTTCAAAGCGAAAATAGAAGTATTTGTGCAGTTTCTAAAGAGAAAATGTAAAAACGGCTCATTTCTCACCCCCCCCCCCCCCCCCCCCCGATAAATATTGCGCAGTTCCTGAATGAAGGCGAACCCAAACCTACATCTCCCACACTACATCTCCCACACAATAGGTCTGTATTCTCAGCTGGGCAGCGCGGAAGAAAACTACGTCACAAATTGTAAATGTGGAATCTATATTACTTTAATGTTACAGCTGGTCTCAAGGTTATAGTTTGCAGTGCAGCAAAAGTCAACTTCCTACTCGAGAAGACAAAAGATTGTCCATCTTTAAAGACTATTGTTGTCATTGGGGGSCCTGTGGATGGCTGTACCGTGGCTGAGGCGGAAGAACTGGGGATTAGGATCGAATCTTTTGAAGACACTGAGGTATCATGGGTATTTCTATTTTCAATAATTTATTGAGGGGTCTATTTTTCACACATCCACTCGCATTAAAGACGATCATTCTCTCTCCAAAAAGAGGACATAGAGGACTATTGAATGCGTTATATTCAATCTGAATTGTTATGTTCTGATATATTTTCATCTATGTTTTCATTTCAGGAACAAGGCAGAAACAACGCACATTACATTAATGTAAATATATCTTGAAATTTCTGAAGAAGGCCGAAGTGCCGAAACGTCCAATAAACAGAGTTCATTATAGCTTCTAGTTGCTCTTTTGTTCTATTTCATTCTACTTATATCTTGAAATTTATATATGAAAGATAATGGAGTGAAAACACTAAAACCATGAAAAGATAAGGCGAACCTTCTGTTTACTTATAACATTTTGTCCATGATTTTCTCATTACAAACCATATTCATGTGTTTTGTGATTTGTATGCAGCCTCCAAAATCAAGTGACGTGTACACGATCAGTTGGACCAGCGGTACCACGGGTTACCCAAAAGGCGTTGTTATAACAAATGACAATATCGTTACTGATATGTCGGCGTACTTGTTTCTAATAAACCAGGTAAGGATTGATGAATAGCTTTTTGTTGTCAGTACAAAAGTTCGGGCTTACGTATTGATCGTTTTCAACTATTTCCATGAGATTTAAAGTGCTACTTGTATGAAAATGCCCTTATTTCAAAACTTCAAGCAATACAAAGATACGACTCATTTTTTCGATTAAAACAATTGCGGGACAATATTTGTTTTGGAATTATACCACTCAGAGAAATTTTGATTCAAAAGACGGAAGAAMAAAAGGATGGAGTAAATGACGTCATCTACTCCAACATTTTTTGCCCAAATTATTAAGGATTTGTATGATCAATATCTTCTTGAAATCTGTTGCTTCATGATTATTAGACCCATATAGATAGGTCTATTTGATTTCAAGTTTTTTTCTTATGTTTCGCAATTTTCGTCCAAGTAGCTCTTTAAAGATAAAAGACCAGCGGTCATGTTTGTGGAGCGAGCAGTAGATACTAATGAGAAATCGTTTGTTGAGGTTTCTCCGTTGTGACGTATAGTGAAAACGAAGAATACTAGTGTTCAGTCCCGTCTTACTGTTTTAGTATATTTCTTTGAACATCCTTATTCTTGTGTCTATTTCTGATGCATATATAGTGTCAGGATGGCCGAGCGGTCTAAGGCGCCAGACTCAAGGTCCCACACCTTCCCATGCTGCATGGGGTCGGGCGTTCTGGTCTCCGAATGGAGGCGTGGGTTCGAATCCCACTTCTGACACATTTTTTT